AATGGTTTTTTTTCTTCTTTGAGACAGAGTCTCGCTCTGTTGCCCGGCTAGGAGGGAGTTGCCGTGGCGTCAGCCTCGCTCACAGCAACCTCAGACTCCGGGCTCAAGCGATTCCTCTGCCTCAGCCTCCTGGAGCAGCTGGGGACTACAGGCATGTGCCACCATGCCCAGCTAATTTCTTTTCTAATATATATTAGTTGGCCAATTAATTTCTTTCTATTTATAGTAGAGACGGGGTCTCGCTCTTGCTCAGGCTGGTTTCGAACTCCTGACCTTGAGCGATCCTCGTGCGTCGGCCTCCCAGAGAGCTAGGATTATGAGCCAACAAGCCCGGCCTACCTGAACATTTTTGCATGATCAAAACTCAAACTATAATACTGTTTTGGGGGCATCTTTTTTTTTTTTTTTGCCCAGGCTAGAGTGAGTGCCGTGGCGTCAGCCTCACTCACAGCAACCCCAACTCCTGCGGCTCAAGCGATCCTCCTGCCTCAGCTCCTTAGTATCTGTGACTACAGGCATGCGCCACCACGGCCGGCTATATTTTTGTATATATATGTTTAATTGGTCAATTAATTTCTTTCTATTTTTGGTAGAGACGGTCTCCTCTGCTCAGGCTGGTCTCAAACTCGTGACCTCGAGCGATCCGCCTGCCTCGGCCTCCCAGGAGGGCATCTCCTTGATCTTTTCTCTGTCTCTCTCACTGGCCGCTCTTTCTCTGCCGGCCTCCGAGCCCTGTGCATGCCGTGCCCTCTGCCTAGAACCTTCTCTTTCCTGGCGGTCCACCCTCCTGTGTTCCACGTTCCGGGGTCTCTCTTTGAAGTCACCTCCTGGGGGAGTCATCCTCTGACCTTGAACCCCAGCAAGGTGCCCCCATGGTATTTCTGCCTGGCCAAGCTTCCCTTTGGTGCCCAGGAGCACAGCCCCGGGCTTGGCCGTGGGCATACTTGGAGTCTTTGCTCTTCCCACGCGCGCCCCGCCACTAGGCTGAATGCTTCCTGGGGGTGGGGCTGGAAGCTGGCATGTGCACCCCACTCTTCCCCCCAGCTCCTGCTCCACGGACTGGCCCATAGGCGCTGCCCCTGCCCTCTTTCACTCTGGACGGAGTGAAGGAATCCATATGCAAATCCTTCAATTCCTGTGGAGGCGCCGCCTCCTCCAGGAAGCACTCTGTGATCTCCCCGCCCCTTGGCCCCGCCTTCACCCTCTCTCAGGCTCTTATCCTCGAAGGGCAGGAAGAGCCTATCTTCTCAGTGCTATGTCTCTCTGGATGGAACTCTTCTGCTTCTCGCTCCGTGTGGTCCTTGGGGACACGTCCACCAGGGCCACGGCCGCCCTGCATGCATCTTAGAACTTCGGTCTCGCTGATTCGGCACGAATGAAGTCCTTGAGCCACCGGCCGAAGGCCTCCTCGGCGACAGGCTGGCTGCGACCGAAGAAGCAGCAGATCCAGCCGGTTCTCCAGCCTGCGTGCTGAGGCCTCTGCCTCTCGCTTAGTCCATGCTCCGTCCTGGTCGCTGTTGTTCCGGATCAGGACCCGGCCAGAGAACAGGGCGGCCATGGGAGAAGCCCCGGCCGGCGGGGCGGGGCGGCGGCGGCGGGGCCCCGGGCTGGCTGGCCGGCTCTCGCCTAGGAATAGAAACCTAGAGGAAGCCGGCTTAGGACCTCCCTAATCTCCCTCCACCTTGACCTGCTTCTGGGGGCGCCTGGGGGGGGCGGGGCTCCCCAGTGTCCGCCTGTCTCAGGAGAGCCACAGCTGCACCCCGAAAATGCACAGGACGGCCTGTCTCAGGGAGGAGCCACAGCCTGCAACCCCGTAAATGCACCAGCGGGACGGGCTGCTCTCAGGAGAGCCACAGCTGCACCCCGAAAATGCACAGGACGGCCTGTCCCAGGAGAGCCACAGCTGCACCCCGAAAATGCACAGGACGGCCTGTCTCAGGAGAGCCACAGCTGCACCCCGAAAATGCACAGGACGGCCTGTCTCAGGAGAGCCACAGCTGCACCCCGAAAATGCACAGACTGGCCTGTCCCAGGAGAGCCACAGCTGCACCCCGAAAATGCACAGGACGGCCTGTCCCAGGAGAGCCACAGAGCACCCCGACAAAATGCACAGGACTGGCGCTGCCTCAGGAGAGCCACAGGCCTGCCACCCCAAAATAATGCACAGGGGGACGGCCCTGTCTCAGGAGGAGCACAGGCTGCACCCCGAAAAATGGCACAGGACGGCCCTGGCTCCCAGGAAGCCACAGCTGCACCCGAAATTGCCCACAGCGACGGCCTTCCCCAGGAGAGCCACAGGGCTGCCACCCGAAAATGCACACAGCGGACGGCCTGTCCCAGGGATGAGCCACAGATGCACCCCGAAATATGCCACAGGGCACGGCTGTCCCAGGAGGAGCCACAGATGCAACCTCCGGAAATAGCACAGGGACGGGTGGTGAGCGAGGACCGACCAGCCTGACATACGGGTGTGAAAACAGTCCACTAAATTGTGATGGAAACACACGCAGGCTTCTTTCTTTTTCTTTTTGGAGGCAGATCTCGCCTCTGTCGCCAGGCCTAGGAGTGGAGTGCCGGTGGGGTCAGCCTAGGCTCACAGGAACCTCAGACTCGCTGGCGGCCTCAACGCTGATCCTCCTGGCCTCAGCCTCCCGGAGTAGCTGCGGACTACAGGCATGCCCACCATGCCCGGGCTCATTGTTTCTATTATATTTTTAGTTGGGCCAATTAATTTTCTTTCTATGTATTAGTAGAGACGGGGTCTCGCTTTGGCTCAGGGCTGGTTCTCGACTTCCTGACCTTATCGCATCTTCCCGCCTTGCGCCTCCCAGGAGTGCTTAGGATTACATGGGTGCAGCCACCGCTCCTGGCCTCCTCTTTTTAGGAGCTTTTTTTTTTGTTATCTTTAGGGGGACCCGGTAACAGCTGGTGGCCTGTATGCTGCATGAAGCCTGCTGGGGCTCAGGAAAACAGCCATCCGGGACAAAGGCCTTCAAAGCAGCCTCGGAAGCAAAAGTTCTTCTCTGGCCTTGCTGCCCGCCTGGTGTCTCAGTCCGTTCGCCCCCAGGGCTGGTGGACAGAAAACCAGAACCCTTTCCCAAGCCAGCCCACAAACCTAAACATACGGACTTTAACCTTTAAACGTTCTCCCCTGCCTTTTGGTGTAAAACCTGGGGGCCTCCAGGCATTATCTGACCTACTTTGTTTGACTGCTAGGCGCGTAAAAACCTCCATGGGGACTAGGGTCCTGCCCGCACCCAGGAGGGAAAGGAGGTGCACGCGGAGGGAGAAGACTCCAGACAGGACATCCGGCCTGCTTGGCCGTGTTCCCATGCGCTGGTCTTGTTGGAATCACCTCATACCCTGTTTGTCATCACGATATTTCACACAAGCTGTCCGTACTTTGTTAAACCAAGCATAA